GTGCATAATATTTTGCAGTTGCCTTATAAAGATTGTTTGTCCTGTGTTCACATGGTGCTTCTTGTATTTCTTGGAAGGAGAGTAGCGTAGTTTTTTCATTTTTTTCCTGTCAGAAATGCATTTAATTTTCTTATTCTTTGTCCTAACCCTTGCAAATAAGCTTCTTGAAAAATCTTGCCCTGCTGCTGGGCTGTTGCATGCCTTTCTACACTCATCCACCCCCAAAAGCAGATGGATCATCGTAATACTGATAACAAAAATATGGGTCTCGTAGCTCTGCATGTGGGTTCTTTTTAAAGGGTCCTTGAATAGAGTTTTATCTCTATTCGGTCCACTTGCTGATATTAAAATGTCACAATAAATGATGTCTTTATCGCTAAGGTTTTGCTCACAGCTGCCTGGCAGTTTCCTGTCTGCCCACAAGACGGCATGGTAAACCTTCAGCGGTCTGAAACGTTACAGGATCAGCCTCTGGGAAGGGGAAGATCCAGCCAGCTGCTTATACCACTGCAGGTTACAACCCCAGCGTTTAATGCACTGTTAGAGTGTGTTTCCTAAGATGCAGTTTGCTTTATTTTCAGGCATTTTGAGAATGGTCAAGCTGGATTTTTTGTGGTGCACCATGTGACTGGCATTGCTCTGGAGAGCTGTCAGCTGCTTCAGTTAACCGCTTGACACTTGCTGTAGCCGAGTTGAGCATGTGAAGGTATGGCCAGTGTGCTTTTTGATTGCTGTCACCTTTCTTTTCTTTTTTTCAAAGGACCGCAGTCTCCTCCTACTCCTTTAACATCTGTCCAAGAAAAAACTGGAACCAAGTATAACTGGGACCCATCTGTGTACGAGAACGAGCTCCCGGTGAGGTGCCGGAATATCAGTGGCGTTCTGTATAAAAACAGACTCGGCTCAGGTAATGACGACCTTCTTGGGTGAGGAAGTGTGACTGCTTCTTCTACACTTGGTACACTTTTAATCAGGCTACTTTTAAGGGCTGATTGTGAGGGGGAAAAAAAGACAGTTTCCTAGCCAGCCTAGTCCCTTGTGATATTATTGTTCTCTTCTGTTTTGCTCTTTCTTCAGATTCTTTTAAACTTTTTTCTTAAATCTGTGAGGATACAGGCTGCTGTGCAGAGTGTCTCCCTGGTGATAGGTTAACTCCTCTAAGGTTTTCTTTGTCTCAGAAGTAGACCCATGTTTCTACAAAGCTCCACAGAATCCCTGCTGGAACGGAAAATAGAGTTTGTCTCCTAAAGGAACTCCTTAGCTGCCTTAGCCCCTCCTCTTCTCTCCTCTCTCTGTGGGAAAGCTGAAGCAGCAGTAGAAATTGTCGGCAAGCCTGACTGCATGGCGCAGCGCTTGGTTCGTGGATAGAGAAATTTCTTCACAACCAGAGGGGTTAGAAATTTGAGTGCAAATTAAGGAAGGGATTAAATTTATGATGTTTATCCGAGGAATACTTATTCTCTTGTGGATGAGTAATTTTTCCTAGACTTTTGATGCGTTGGTGAGGCCCAGAGTTGGTGCTCTCTAAACACACAGTCATTGACACAGCCAGGAGAATAAATGGGCATGGTTATCCCAGAGTGATGAGAAGTAGCAGATGGGCATATTTGGTGATTTCCATAGATTATCTGCTATTTTGTCCAGCAATTTCGTATTTACTTCTTTAGAAAAGCAGAAAAGTGATTCTTAACCTTTACTAACAATTTCTTTCATCCATTTTATTTCAGGAGGCCGTGGTAGGTGCATTAAGCAAGGGGATAACTGGTACAGCCCTACCGAATTCGAAGCGATGGCAGGACGAGCCAGCAGCAAAGACTGGAAGAGGAGCATCCGCTATGCTGGGAGGCCACTGCAGTGCCTTATTCACGTAAGGTTAAATTTGCTTCCTCCTTTCTGCCAGAAGGGGCAGGTGGACTGCAGTGCTGGGCAGGCTCTGCCCAGACTCCAAGCTGTGTGTGCTACCTCTGCAGACCTATGTGTGATGGTGCCAGGGGGCAACTTGGAAGCAGCATTTTTTGATTTGGTTGAGAACTGGTGGTGTGAAGGGAATTTTTCGAGATGTGTGTTTTCAAATAGCACAATACAAATCTTGCTTGTACTTGAAAAGAGGTTGCAGTTTCTGCAGGATGAAGTCCAGCCTTGAGCTGTGTTGCAGAAATTGAGAAGTAAGCTCTCACCCATGGTGCTGTAATTCAATAACCTGATCTGCTTAATTTTGTTTGCCTGACAAACATATTCTTCACTCTCACCGTTTATGGAGTATTGCTTTGGGTCCTTTATTTCCTGCAGCATCCAGGAGTCTCATGGAGAATTTGGCGTTGCCATTAGGTTGACAGTTGATTTCTGCTTGGGCAGAAGCTTTATAAAGTCTCAAATTCACATATCTTTGCCTTTTGATTTGAAAGTTGTTTGTTCTTCCTTCACTCTTTCCCTTATCTGCTCGCACCATGACCGAAATGTAGGGGAGTGGGCCTCTGTCATTTCCGAGGGCCTCAAGGAGGGTTTGTCTCTCTGGGAGCTGTCTAAACCTTTTAGCAGAATACAGCCATACTCTCGGTGGTTTTGGTGACTAATGCTGAACTAGAAATCTTCTAATTCCAGGATGGGATTTTAAATCCTCACGCTGCCTCGTGTACTTGTGCTGCCTGTTGCGATGACATGACTCTGGTGAGTTTTCCTTTTTACATCCATTAATTTAAAAACAATCAGTCAAGCTGCCACAGCCATTTGCCAGCAGGTCATGAGCATCCTAATAACGTTCATGAGTCCTGTGGCTGCAGCGTGCTTTGTCCATGCCTCACAGAGAACGGACAGAAGGAACTGCTAGCACTATTGCGTAGCAGCCTCAGTAAAACTGGATAAAAGTTATTGCTTTCTTCTTCTTTTAATTTTTCTTTTCTAAATACTTATATAGAATGCCTTTGGGGGATGTCAAAACTGTGATTTTTGATTCAAATTTCATAATTTTTTGAGTTGGAAAAAATGCTTTTGTAAGCAAGTAATGTAATACTCTATGTTGGATCTATATTTTCATATTAAACTACATGGGTTGTTTGTTTCAAAAATTAGGTTAAAGTCCTGAAAGCAGAAGTCTTCAGCTTGCCTTGAAATAGTTTTTTGCATTTCTTTTCTGCTAGGAACTGGATGATTTGCTTGTTTCTTAGACCTGCAACTAATCCCTTTCTGTCTTCCCCTCACTCTTGTTCTCTTTTCTTCCATCACCTTGTCCAGCAGTCAATTCTTTGCCCAGTTCTGCTCCTTAAATAATAGTGGGAAGAGGCTGAATCTGTGCCTCTTCAGATGGAGACAACTGAATGTAACTTTCTTTTCACTTTTGGTTCTTTTGGTTTGGAGAAGTATAAGTTTTTTGGTCCGTTGTTGCAAACCACACATCTTCCATGGGGATATGTGCTGCTTGGCCTTGGCTGCATCTGGAAAGATGAGAGTGAACCCAAAGTCTCCAAAGAGGTGCCTCAGCTAACGCCTTTTACCGTTTTCTTTGTAATTTTTTTTTTTTTTTTCTTTTGCCTAGAGTGGCCCTGTACGACTCTTCGTGCCATATAAAAGGCGGAAAAAAGAAAATGAAATGCCTGCAACTCCAGTGAAGAAGGATTGCCCCAAAAACATCACTCTGCTTCCTGCCACAGCTGCTACTACATGTAGGTTCTTTTCTCCTGGTAAAAATTGCTTCCCTTTTTTGATGAAGAATTGCTGCACCAGATATTATATGTCTATCAGCGGCCCCTTGGAACTAGCCAACTGAGAGTCTTTAGCTAAGTGTCTGAGTGTCTTTAGCTAATTTAGTTTCCTATTGTGTAGAAACTAGAACAGTGTTGCCACAATGGGACTAAAAAGTACAACTCTAGACCTCCGGGAGACTTGGTTTTAAGCATCTTGACATTCTTTTGCAGTGAGCAGTAGGTTTCTTATTTTCTTCTGAGAGAGTTCTGGATTATATTTCCCCCCTCTATGTGCCTGGCCATTCAGGGGGAGTTGTGAACTCCTGTCCTTGATCAACAGTGGGTTTCCTGTAGGTTTTTCACAAACAACAATTGAGAAATTTCCTCCTGTTGAAATTAGGTTGAGGGGAAGGCTGGCCCTTTTCTGCTCTGCCAGAAATCCCCGTCCCATCCCCGGAGCTTGGTTTTTGCCCTTTAGAAGCTGGTGGGTGCTTTGAAGTGAGTTTTATGCTATTTCTTGAAATACATTGAAAAGTAGGTTCTAAGTACCTGGAATTAAATCCACAGCCTGGAAGTCGTTAATGAAGGAGGCAGAAGGTGATGCTTTCATCTGCAAATTCCTTTCTAACATTCAGCACACGCTTTGTTACTTACTGGTTTTGATTGTCAAACCATCTGTGTGAGAGCAGAAATTAATTTGCAAGCTCATCCAGCTCACACGTTCCCAGTCACATTCGTGTGTCCTCCTGCTTTTATCACACTAGCATCATCTGGATGGTAACATTACAAAGTGAACTGAGGTGGAAGCAACAGAAATCCAAAAAAGAAGAGCCAAAAGTGAGATTAGATTACTAGCAGCAGCAGGAAGAGAAATATGCAAGGATTTTGTAGAAGTTGGGTTGGGTTTGTTTTTTTTCATCCCCCGGGGTTTAGTCTGTGTAGGTTCACTGATGTGAGGTGCTGTGAGGTTGCAGGTTTGCTCATGCTGGCACTGGGAGAGAGGAGGACTGATTGTTTTGGTTGTAGCCACATATTTCACCAGGCATGAATCTGTCTAAAAATTGAATTATTGTTTGCCAAAAGATCCTTCTGGCTGAGCAGTGTGCTGCAGAATCAGACCATTACCAAGGAGTGGTGCCAGATTAATTAATCCTGTTTAAAAAGGGTTTAAAACATGTTGGAGCCACTCAGGAATATTCATCCAAAAGGATTTTGTGACTTGTTCCTTGCTTTGGCCAAGCATAATACATCACTTTGTGTAGAGAGACAGCTAAAATTGTCCAGCTAACCAAACTGTTATAGCATTAATTGTAATCCACTTTTTTTAATGTTGATTTAAGTAGTAAGAACCGCTCTTGTTAAGGTTGGAATAAATTAGGGTCAGCCAGAAACTGATGGGGTTTATGGCCCCACTGAACCATTATGGTCAGTGTTAAGTTTTTGCTCATCTAATAATTGAAGAGGTGGTGATTTGGGAGGCAGCATGTTGTAAGTGAACATTCTGGCTCCATACACCCCGAGAATAAACAGAGTCCTGCAGGAGGTCAGTAGTGCCTTCGGAAGCCAAACGAGGCTTTTATTCCCCTTTCCAACTGTATTGGTCACAGGTGTGATCCAAACTTGAGTTGTTGGCAGGCAACTTACGATTCAGAACAGGGATATCAACAGCTAAATGACCGAGGCCTTGCACTGAGTGTTAATTATGAAAGTACTTCTAATATTTCCAGTCACCGTGACTCCTTCTGGACAGATCACTACCTCTGGTGCTCTGACATTTGATCGTGCATCGACAGTGGAAGCCACAGCAATTATCTCGGAAAGTCCGTCCCAGGGTGATGTTTTCACTGGAGCCGCTGGTAAGAGTTCAGGTGTATGTCTGCTAGACATCCCTGAGAAGGAAAAAAAAAAAGTTTTGGTTGCCAGTTGCTATAGAAAGAAGCGTTCTGAATGCTGCACAGAAGATTTCTTAAGAGCTTACAGACAGACTATATGTTAACACGCTGTCCTTCCTTTGAAATGATTTCAGCAGCTTGAAATCTTACCACTTGCGCAAAAGAAGTTAGAAGTTTTGTCCAGATGTTGCAGCTGCTAATTTACACCTCTGCTGATTATTTTTTTATGGTCATCTCTGTCATTTTTTTCACTTCTCCTTCATCCTAAAATACTATCCAAAAAAAAGAAAACCAGCCGAGTGTTGAAACTAAGTGAAAAATGCTTGGATAAATGCTGAAAAATTCTAGAATAAATCAAACAAAATATAAATGCATGACACATTTTAGTTCTCTCAGTTTGATTGATACATGGGATTGTGAGCTCTGCTGAGGCAACTGTCCTGCCCCAAGAACCAGAGTTCGGAGTCCTGTGATTATTGTAAATACAGAGGTGTGCAGGACGGAAGGCAGCAGTGGCCTTTGCCTTTAAAAGTGAAAGCAGAGATGAAACAAGTACAAGGTTGCCTTGCTTGCTAAGTGTGTAAGATCATGCTCCTGTTTCTCATTTGCAACCCCTGGAGTATAGGAACTTGTCTAAAATGTAAAAATATGGGTGAAAGAAGCATAAGAAGTGCCTGGGAGCCGTGTTGTGCAGTGATTTGTAATGCCATTGTTCTCTGCAGTTCAGGATACCAACGTCCAGCAGCCCTGCCGGGTCAACCACCCAGAACCTCACTATCCGAGTTACCAGGACAACTGTCAGATTTCTCCTTTTCCTGAAGCTGCGCTGCCAACATCTCATCCCAAAATCGGTACGTATTATGTCTGTCACATGCAGCAGTTAGCAGTGCTTGAATTTGCTCTCTAATCAGTGAACATAAAGATTGAGGCAGAAAAATTAACTTTCCTCTCTTTTGCTTATGAGTTTTGTGGTTATTAAGATTTGGAGAAGCAGATTTTTCACTCCCTGTAAAGTTTTTCACTCTGTTATTGAGAACTTTGATTTATTGGTTTCTACCAGAGGCTGTTGTGATCCTGCTTCCTAAATCATCTTGCCGTCGCCTGCCTTTCCTAAGGCTTTTGCTTCAAGGACTGTGTCACCACTTGGGCATTGTGGTGAAACATTTATTTAGTGCTTGGTCTGGGGAGACCGTCTTCTTTAAAATTGTGTCGCAGAAACTTTTCAAAAAATTTCCATATCTCTTTGTGAATCCAGTGACATGTGCTGGAGGCAGTTTGGGGCAGGTTTGCTGTGCTGCTCTCACATCCACTGTCAGGTTTCAATCCCTTAGCACTGATGTTTGTGCTGGAATGATGGGTGCTGCTTAACAACTGCAGCCACCCCTGCCGTGGTCAAACTGATTCTGGAGTAAAACCAGAAAAAATGGTATGAAAAACAACAAATGCAAATCAACCCTTTAGTATTTGATAGGATGGGTTAAACTGATTATCAAATAACTCTTTAAATGTAATTATATTATGTAAAGTTGATCACCTTTCTGACTGATAAATGAAATGAATATGATGCTATTTGAGTGTTGCCTGCACTGATAGAAACTGGAAGTGTTGAAGAAACTGGAATTGCAAACTTGGAGTGTTGTTCTTGTTTTATGTGTTATTGAGCCTGGGCAAGAAATAGAGCAGGGAACAGTCTGCCACTGGCCAGCTGATGGATTAGGCGATTACAGGCCTTTAACTTCTCTAATTTCTATGATTCTGTGAACTGACTCTGATACTTACTGATCTCACTGATGCAGAGCTGGAAGACAGGCAGGTTTTGATCCCTGTTACTGTTCTCAGACATCAGGAAAAGATCATGTAAACATGTTGTATTCCTTTGTGCGGTCTGACGTCTTTCTCATTTAAAGCCTGCGTTCTCCCCTTTGTGTGACCTTTTATTTACTTATTTGGAGCAGCATAGTGCGTTGCTGCTCTGTCCAGAATGAAATCTTGTTGATTTTAAGTCTTAGTCAGACCTTGATGTTACTAATTAAACATTGATTTTTTTTTTTTCACTGGTGAATACTTTCTCTTGACTGATATACCTATGCCAAAATGAGGAATCGGAAACAATTCCTGCTAGATAAGTTATCAAATGCCATGCTGGTATAAATATTGTTCTGGAAATTTAGCAGTGGGAAAGGCTCTTCTGCAAACAGCTACTGATAAAAAGACTGCTTTATCTCATATTCATATCTAAATGCAAATAATTCTACGGCAGTCATGTACAAATTGATTGAAATTACTATTTTAATTAAGGGCTGTTGAGTGTAAAATGACCGTTTACCTGTGTGGTGAACTTGAAATGCTGTGGGTCAGAAAAGGTCGCACATCTAACACACAGTGACCTGCAGTACTGCTGATTTTGAGACTCATTCTTTCTTTCCAAATCTCTGCTGGATTCTCTCAGCTTTTGCTGCTTGCATGAAAAATACCAGGTATGACATGAAAAAACTACCAGGTATAATGTGGGAGTCTGCTCCAGGCCACCCCACCAGGAGGAGTGGACGGATGAGCTCATCTATAGACAGACAGGAGCAGCCTCATGTTTACAAGACCTGGCCTTCCTGGGGGACATCAGCCCCCCTGATATCTGTTGGAGGGACAACCCAGCAGGGCACAAACAATCCAGGAGGTTCCTGGAATGTGCTGATGAGAACTTCCTTCTGCAAGTGATGGAGAAGCCAAGGAGAGGAGCTGTGCTGGATCAGCTGTTGGGGAGTGTGAAGCTCAAGGGCAGTCTTGGCTGCAGTGACCATGAAATGGTGGAGTTCAAGGTCCTTAGAGCAACAAGGAGGGTGCGCAGCAAGCTCGCTACCCTGAACTTCAGGAGAGCACTTTGGGCTCTTCAGGGATCTGCTTGGCAGAGTAGTGTGGGAGAAAGCCCTGGAGGGAAGAGGGACCCAAGAGAGCTGGTTAATATTCAAGGATTCCCTCCTCTGAGCTCAGGAGTGTGTCAGCATCCTGACAGAGATGGGGGGGGGCTGGAGCCCCTCCCCTGTGAGGACAGGCTGAGAGAGTTGGGGGGTTCAGCTGGAGAAGAGAAGGCTCCAGGGAGACCTTAGAGTGGCCTCCCAGGACTGAAAGGGGCTACAGGAAAGGGGGGAGGGACTCTTGATCAAGTGGGGTGTAGGACGAGGAGGAGTGGTTTTAAACTGACAGAGGGGAGATTTAGATGAGATCTAAGGAAGAAATTCTTCCCTGTGAGGGTGGTGAGGCCCTGGCACAGGCTGCCCAGAGAAGCTGTGGCTGCCCCCTCCCTGGAAGGGTTCAAGGCCAGGTTGGACGGGGCTTTGGGCAACCTGGGCTAGTGAAAGGTGTCCCTGTGTGGGGCAGGGGGTGGGACTGGATGGGCTTTAAGGTCCCTTCCAACCCAAACCAGTTTGTGATTCTATGAAAAAGACTCAAGTGTCAATACACTTGAATCAGTTGCTGTCTTGGAAGATGTTCCATGTTCAATGCAGCCCTGTGAGGAGTCTGTTTCATCTGCCATTGCTTTGCTAAGGAGAGGTTCACTGTGGGCGGAACTGCTGGAACTGCAGCCTGATACAGGCAGGTGTGTGGGCCAGCTGCTGTTCACGACAGTATCTACAGTTGAATTTTTTCAGGACAGTATTTACAGTTAAGTTTTAAGTACCATCTGAAGTGTAGTCAAGACTTTTCCTGAATAGAGGGGGGGCTCTGCTGTTCTGTGTTTTCAACTGGGCTGCGGAGTTTGCTATTCTGTATCCCTGTCCTTCAGTGAGAAAGGTTTGGGGATTGTTTCTGCCTTTCTTTTTGGAACGACTTTAGACAGACCAGTGTGACTAGAAAGCCAGTATCTGTAATGACATCCAAAACAGATTGTGATGGGAGACTGATAATAAAGTAAATGATAATAAAGTACTTTTCAGACACTTGAGCCTCTATGTTTTGGTCAAGAACTTCCCCCTTCCCCCAGATTTCTTAATTCTGATTTCAAGGAAAATAATCTGGCTCTAGTAATGAAAATGGGTTTTAATGGAACCAGTGGTCAGTACCCAGCAGTGGCAGCTCTCTGCAGGGCACCCCCCTGCAAGGCTGGAGATGCTCAAGGCTAGTGAGTTATCTCTGGGTGTTATCTTCGGGGTCTGGGGGACAAGCTGCCTGGCAGAGGTTCTCGAGGTGTTAAGAGTAATGGTTCTAAAAGGAGAGCAGGCACAGGCAGGGTACGATGGCATTTAAATGGCTCAGCACTTCTGAAGGGATATTCCCGACTGTGTTGAACATTTCTCTGAGGGCCATAGCATTCATCGGCTGGAATGGTCCCACAATTATTATATGAATGTGGCACTCTGTTTAAAAATCAAGGTTGCTAATTGACTTTTGATGTCTGGAATACTGACAGCTCTTCCCCTGATAGTGCAGAACCAGGAAGAAATGTGGTTTCTCAGCTTGCAGTACTTACTGGTTTTATGTGTGTTGCATTGTTCTGAAACTCCTACTTAAAAGATGTGAGGAAAAATCATGAAAGGGACTGTTAGTAGATTTTGGGGTAATAAGGCTGCACAGCCCTGAAGTTGGTGGTGCCCTCTTTTTTTCTAGGAAACAATTTAGTGAGGAATTTAAGAGTTTGGCTGTTGGTAGATGTGAATGCCTTGGCCTTAATTTTATGGCAGGTGGTGAGCATTTATCTCTAGAGTTAGCATGCAATTTTGGAAAAGTAAGGCCTGTAAAGCCAGGTAACATTCCTGGAAATGTTGCCTAAGGTGAGCTTACACTGTGTATTGTTGGATCTAGATTTATTGTTGGATCTAGATTTAATTTCCTCACACTGTGGTCTCCCAGTGTCCATGCAAACCTACTGTTCTGAAAAGTATATGTCTCAGTGACACAATAACTGTTTTTTTGAAACATTTGCAAAGGTGAGGCTAAGACAGACATTGTTTTCTAGGACTTTAATTTTCTAACACAGGCTTTGGGAAAGGGAGGACTGCAGAGCCTGGATAAATGAGGGGGTTGCAGGTAAGTTCAGGGGAAGTGTGATTGGGTTACCAGGACAGGAGTTGAGCTGCATTTTGGTGGCTTCCTACCAACTGCAGCTACTGCTAAGGTTATGGTTAGGGTCTGAAAAAGTAAAGGCTGTGACACCTCAGTAATTGGTGGGGTTTTTCTTCTTTTAATCCCCTTGGAGTATGTTTAGAAGTGTTGCTGGGCTTCAGTGCTTTTGTATTTTGCTCCATACCATTGCATTCTAGCTTATACAGGAGTGAAGAGTTGTAGTTAGGAATCTAGAGGAAAGGGCTATAGACAAGAAATGTCTTTCTTGAAAGCTGCCCAAAGTAGTCAGTGTAAAGCAAATGTCAGGAGATCTTAGTGCCTGAAGCTAAAACTTCGATCTGGACTTTTATACATTCACTGTTACTTCTGGGATTAGGTAAAGACAGGTTTCAGAGCCACAATGATAGTTGCTGGTCAGAATACCTAGGATATGTGAAAAAGATACCTATAGCTGTGAGTACCTTTTATTAAAATTGTTGGTGTTTCAGTGTGGTATGTGTGTTCTTATGGCCACAGTTTGTTTTACGGGTGCGATCCAGGATGAAGGGGTCCAAAGAAATTACAATTACTGTTTTGGGGTTTTTTTAAGGGCTTCCCAACTGGTAGTTTTGGAAAGTGCATGTTTGTAATACATGTGATTTTGAGGTGATGATAACTGTCTTGGTTTTATTCCAGTCCTGGCCCAGGGTTACGGTTAAGGTCAGAATACAGGATGTATAGGGGCCTGTGGTGTGTATATCGGTGCCTATTTTTTGTAGTTTTGCAACCTGAGAAGTGACATCTGTGTAGTGACATCAGGGTATTTCAGAGAGGTGATGGGTCACTGAATGACCTTACTTAGGGGTAGTTAAGGGAAACATTAAGTGAACATTGGGATGATAATGGCAGAGGAGTCCCTGGGAATGTTGCTTTCACTGCTTCCTTGTGCCTCTCTGCAGTAGTGCACCTCCGAGAGGTGTTATCATAATTCCTTCCCAGGGTAAACCCTACATGTTTTCTGTCCTAGGGGTTTGAGGGTGCCCCAAGGGCTTGTTCTGCACAGGCCCATCTGTGCACTTTGGGGCACAGAAGGTAGGTATGTGTAGCTGAATCTTACCTGGATTGGAAATTTTTGCAGGCTGTATTTATTTTAAAAAAAGCAACCAACCAACACAACAGAAAAAAAAAAAACACAAAACCCCCACTTTATGGAAATGAAAGGTCCTAATTATCTATATTTTTTCTTTTTCTTCCTTTATATTCAGTGTTAACCTCACTCCCTGCCCTGGCGGTGCCCCCCACGACCCCCACCAAAGCCATATCCCCATCGGTGGTGAACGGGCTGGAGGTGACGGAGCAGCGGAGCTGGCTGTACTTGGAAGAGATGGTCAACTCCTTGCTCAACACCGCCCAGCAGTTGAAGACTCTCATTGAACAGGCCAAACAGGCCAGCTCCTCCTTCCGTGAGGCTGCTGTCACACAAGCGAAAATTCAAGCTGATGTGGAGAGGAAAGAGGTAATTATGCCAGAGGAGGTGAGGAGACTCAGCTGAGGGTGTCTTTTTGGCTGAGTGATGAACAGAGCAGTACCTCACTGGGTGTCACTGTCTGTAGCAGTGGTAGTCCTTAGAAGTTGTTTCTCAATGTCCTGAGAGCAGTATTATCAAAAGAAATCTGAGTTATTTGTATCATGGGGAAGGAATAGAGTGCTCTGGGTTTCCAGGAGCTGTGGGTAGCAGGCTAGTAATACAAACTGATGTTATGAGTCCTGAGCTCTCCCATCAGCCATCCTGAAATTTATGAGACATGGGCACTGAATTCTGGTGTAGGAAAGATAGTGAGTGTTCAGCCGTGTGGTGGCTGTTTTATTTGTCAAGTGAGTGGGGCTATCAAAGAGGCTTTTGGTGGCCTGAAGAGGCAAAGGGATAAAAAGAACAGCAAGCTGTGGAGTTTATGGGGAAGATAAGCAGTAAAGTTGAGAGGTGTCTTGCTGAGCATTGTGTAAGCAAAGCTGATCTTGCATGAGTCCTATGGTAAGACTGCAAGGCTGGCTGGCCTTTGGCTTGCACCCAGTGGCCCTTCTCTCCTCTGCAAGGGGTTATCTGCAAGGACTGTCCTGTTCTCCCTGCTTTTTTTCTCTTTAATTGATGCATGGTAGGGACCCTGGATTCTTCTGAGCACCAGCTCATGCATGCACCCTGAATCTGGCTCCATGCACTGCTGAATGCATTCCCCTTCTCCCCCAGATCCACAGCTGCTGGCGTGGACTTGAGGGAGAGAGGTGGGGGGCAATGTTCTGTGAAACTGGTGTCATTGGCGTTAGCTGAACTCCCTTCCTGTACGCCACACTATCTGCTGTTGCCATCGGCGTTATTGCTAACGTCAGCTTTCCACTGAATTCATAGGCACGAGTGTGCAGCAAGAGGCCTTGAAGAAATGTGTGTGGGAAGACTTTGCTGAGAACTGAGAACCCCTATGACAGTCCTTGCAGCATCTTTGATATTCTTTGCCACGTTGTCTCTGCTAAACTCTTCTGTACGCTGCATCCTTGATGTGCAGGTGTGTGATACCTTGAGAGTCTTAATTCTTCCCTGCCTTTTGCCTGGGCAGAATGGGTATTTGTGCTGCTGTCCAGGTTGGGCAGTCTCCTGCTAAAAAGCTCTGTAGAGCAATAAAAAAAGATACCAAAAAATCGGAAGCTTTGACATGGTTCAGAGATGAACATCTGACTTTGTTTAACTTCGCTCTCTGCTCTTTTTCCAGTTATGTGCTGTCTTCCCTTCTGTTTATCCTTACAGTGGTTTCTGGAATGGCTGTTCAGAGTCCATTCCCCTCACCCTCTGATCCAAATCCACCTCACTTCAGTGTAATTCTAGTTTCTTCTTGCCCAGGGAATGGGATTTAAAATCACTCTTCTGTATTGATTAAAGTGCTGAATTTGCAAGGCAAGGATGAGCACGTCTTTGTTTCCAGAGGAAGCCCCTTTCCCAGTAACTGTTGAATCCCCAATTATACTTGTGTGTCTTCCTGTTCTTATTGTGTAATGGCTACCTCAACAGTTTTGTATTTTGATAAAAACACTTGCTCATTATGCTATTTTTTTAATATCCAAATAACAATTCTCAAGTTTGCTGCTGTGTGCTAGCTTCAGGAACCATCTGGATGATACTGCAGATAGCTATTTCTGAATTCCTTCAAGTGACTTCCATTTTTGGAAGAAACTCTGGGTTTCTGGGTACAGGGCTGGCATTGGAAGTAATTACAATAAATGTCAAATAATTGGCTGTCTGCTTTTGTGTTGGTCAAGGGTGTTTTTCTGATTTCATGAATGCTTCCCCAGTTTGTAATGCATGTCTCTTTCCCACCCTGAGTATGTGTGTGGTCAAACTGCTTTTCTTGACAGTTTAAGGTATAGAGGGAGAAAGAGGTGTCTTCCTGCCTCAGTTCTTGATTTTTGCTGAACCAATTTAATACAAGGGAAATAGGTGCTTTATCACTACTTTGTGTTTATTACACTGACAGAACTTCCAAGGGCTAGCAAACAGGGGAACCTCCTCACCACCTCCTCCGTTCGCACAAGCGGGGATGGTGAAGGCAGCCATGTGGATGCTTCTCTGTAGGAGGGCTGTGGGTTTGCAGAATTTCTGTGCAGTAGGATGTTCCTCCCTATTTGGAAGTGAAAGACTGTGTCATTGTATCAGAGCTGCAGAGCAAAGGCTATACAACAGAGTAAATTATAACAGAGCTGTAGACTCAGCTCTTCCTGGAAGAGACACTTAATATGTAACTGGATTAAAGAAATCTGTTGAGAAGATGCTAGTTCCCAAGTGCATACACAAACTTCATGGGCATGACTATAACTAATAGGTATATTTAGTTTTCACAGCGATGCAGAGCTATTCCCCAGTTCAGTGTCCCAGCTCCTGAGGATGTTGAGTTCAAGCACTTTTGATCTTGTAAGTGTCCATATCCCTGACCATGTCCCTCTGTCACCCTGGCAAAAGAGGGAGATCAGCAAGGCAGGCTGCTGGGGACAGCGCTGTCATCACTTGCCTTCCAGAGGGAGCCTGAAGTGGCCCCAAGTTTAAGCAGAGTAGAGGAGAAGTGGCAAGAACAGCAAACACGCAGGAAAACTTACTTGTGTGCTAGTTTTGTTTCAGTCTTCCTAGAGAGTGATAAATTAAGCATTAAAAATTTTTAATCACAGTTTATATGCCTTGTATATTACAAATCACTTACTGTATTGTGTTTCACTTATTATAGTTACTAATTAATGAGCTTTGGAGTTCATCAAATATCACAAATGAGCCAGTCTGCTCCCACATAGCAGCAGTTTGGTTGACTGGCTTTGAATACCAGAAGCTGTACTCCATACGGAGCAGTGGGAGGTCCCGGTGGGACTTGAAGAGCTCTGAACTGGGAAAGGCAGGCTTTTGCTCCCAGTTCCCTTTGAGCCAGGGAGATGTTTGTGCTGCCTGGATGCTTATGTTCTTATCTGTGAAGTCAAAGAGCGGGCATCACGGTTTCATTCCGATCACGCTTGCTAATGATATTATCCAGGACTATTCAGAGGAGTCTCAGGAATACATTATTCCCCTCATTTATATCAGTTTGGAGGTGGAAATGCCAGCATCGGAGAGGAACTGTGGCAGGAATGGGATCAGCTAAATGTAGCAAGTGAAAACCATAAAAAAATTGTAAGTGCAGCATAAATTAGAAGCATCTACAGTCACGTTTCTTCCTTAAGATGGCATGTCTAATCTGAATTTTGCAGAAGGACTGGATCCCTAATTGCCGTTCCCAACACATGGCGATACCTAGATACAGAGTCCTCAGAAGCAACAGGGGGCTGAATTGGGACGTGTTGAGAGTTTGGGCGTCAGGCTGTACAGTAGTGGAATATAAATGCCTGTCTGTGTAGGCAATTAGAGAAAGTATGGAAAAATACACTTGCCTTCCACTGTTCTCTGCTGTCTGACGTGAGGGGTTTTTCACTCTGCTTCCCTACTATACAATTACAGCCATATAACACCCTGTGGTGGGACCTGGTGATGTCCTTAGGGGTTCTGAAGAAACTATAGGTCAGATTCTGAGTGCTGGAGCTAAAGGCTTCACCAACAGTTTTCCTTGGCCATAATTTTGTAGTTTGGGAGTCCTCGCATGCACTCTGTTGCTATCTTTGTCCTTTTTAATTTCTGTAAATTTGTTTAATGATCATGGCTTGCTGGGCAGATTGTAAGACTGAGGATCTCTTCCAATTTTTGTTTCCATCTGTGCCACAAGTTATTTAGATGCCCCTGGGTAAGTCCTTGGCCTCTCTGTGCCTCGGAGCCTGCTCTTTTTAAGGGTAACACAGAGGGCTTGCATAGCAGTTTGCAGTGGTAGGATCTCTGGGTAAAAGGTTGTGTAAAAAAGCGTTAACCTTATAAATCTTAAAATAAGAGCAGTTTGTAAACCTGAAATCTACAATTCCAGCATTTATGAAAATCTCTTTTGCAATAATTTCTTCTGAAACAAAATTGTAGAGGAGATTAAGAAAGTGGTTAAAAATATCTTGCCTGTTGTGTATGCTGTCTGCAGCATCTCATGTGCCTGTTGATGAGGAGGACTCCTTAATTAATAAGCAGAGCCATCATGGAGTTAGTTCCAGACACGAAGCTGACTGCTCAAGAAGCAGCGACGGCCACAAGCCGTGTGTGTAAACAAGAGGCGCAGACGCAGCTGGTGCTCAGCCTGTGCACGGCTACATATTGGCAAACACCAAATATGTTACATTTATGTTACTCAGAAGTCTTGGGGAATGACATTCTGAAAGAAAAGCAAACCATAAACCCCCCCCCACACCTCAGCGTTTGTATGAAAATGCGTCATGCTTCTTGCAAAAAAAAGAAAATATTAAAATGTTTGTATGCTTTTTCTGAATTGCAGCATTTTGCATGGGATTGATTAACTACCACTGCTCTGTCAGAACTACACCCAGCTATTAAGAAAAAGTTCACCACTATCGCTATTAATTAGCTTGTGACTGAGTGTATCTGATCCTCTGAACGTTGGGTTTGATGCTTTTTTTGATTTAGGGAAAAACGGAAGAGAGTGAGTGGGGCAACAGAGGCTCAGTGTCTCTTACAACAGGTATTTGACAACTCCCAGGACTGGCCCGAAGGGAGTGGATTGAAAGACAGTACTTTGCACAGAGATCTGTGTGGTTTGCAATGTAATTTTTTTGAGTGTGCATTAAGCCATTGTTTCTATCAGATAAACTTTAGGAGGGGGAGAATACATGAACTCACATTCTGTGCCAGAAGACATTGCTGGAACGTAGTAAAGATATTCAAGAAATGTGTTAAACAGTTTTTCTGTGTAAATTTAAAAGAATTGGTGTCAAAATCTGACAAGTGTTTTAACTGAAATAGCCCTCAGTGGGTAATGCAGTGATGCCTTTGGAGCCCAGCCCATTTGAAAACAAGGTGGAAGATTAAATCAGCTAGCAGCTGGACTGTCTGAATTCCTTTTTACAAAGATTAAAACAATTCAGGGCTAGAGAGTATGAAATTAACCTAAAAAGGGTCAGACATTTAAGAAATGTAGCTCTAGTAAGCAAATCATGGTTTGCGTACTCCAAAGCAGCAGTGAAAACAGTTAAGAACTGGAAGTTATCAGTTTCCTGGAGCTGTTTCTGTGAGAGATCTGTATGTGTCTGGCTTGATCCTCTCTCTTATCACACCTTTTCCTTCTTTGTACTTTCTGCACAGCTCCAATTCTTTACCCAGCAGCTGTGCTGAGCTGATAAAAAGGAGACAGAAGGGGGTTAAATGTGGAGTTTCCATCGGGAGGTTTAGGGGGCCAAGAGCAGAGATGGAGGAGCTGCTCTGGCTCAGACAAGGCTGGACTTCCTCTTGAAGCCTTTCTCATTGGCAGTCTCCCCGGAGAACGGGATTAGCTGCACGCGCAGAGGATGAAGTGGAGTCTGGCGGTGGGAAGGGTTTTAATTCTGGAGCTGCGGCGCTTTATCAGAACCGGAATTGGGCGTGTTCAGCCCTGGCACTGTCTCTGCACGGGCTGTCGCAGAGGGGACCGTACGAGCTGGGATTGCGTCTGTGGAGGTTTTCAAACTAGGTTGAAATTCCAGCTCACCCATGCCTTGTTATCTGTATTTCCACTTTATTCACGAAAAAGAAGTTTAGAAACGTTATGCAGTTTTCCTAGGTCTGTTCTCTTATGATTGGTCATTTGTCTTTCATTTAACAGTGGAAAGCTCATTTTAACCTTTCCTGAAGAATCCGCAGTTGCCGGCCAGCCCAGCTCTCTGCCTGAGTGCAGGGAGGCAGAGGGCAGGGGCTGTGGCCCCAGGTGTTGAATCCCAACTTCCCCACGGCCTGTGCTCACTGATGTTAATGATTCTCTCAAGAATCAAGTAATTTTCTTCATGAGATCTATCAGGATTGATTCTTAGGCCAGAGGCCACATCTTAAGCTTGCCAGTGTGCTCCCCGTCTTCACAAGAATGCTTTTGATTTGGACACAGTTTTGGTTTTCAAAACAGGAATTTTGAAATCTCCATACACGTGGGGCACGTTTTGCCTACGCAGTACTGGAAGTGCTGGGGACGTCATGGGTCCCATCTTGCTAATTAGCCAGGTCTTGCCCATTTGTCAGATAACGGCAGGACCCAGTCACACCCTTTGCAGTCTGCAGCAAGAGGTTTCCCTGCCACCTCCTCCATCTCCCTAGTTTTTAAATTTTAATTTGTGTCCTGGTAATATAAAGTTTTGAAGGCTGTGATTTCACAGGAGAATAAATACTGTGATGTCAGGTCATAGAGACACTTGTAAATTAAGCCTTTAATCTCCTTATATGTTGGGTCATACTCCTGGATAAACCTGCTTTGCCTGAAGGTAGGGATTTGGCTTTTTTCTTACTTTTTAACTGTTCCCAATAAATTTAAAAAGGTTAGCACATAGTCATGTTGGCATTGGTTGTGGATTCCTTTGGGTTAGGACTCCTGTCTCTCAGCAGCATTGGCTGCTGAGCGTGGCCAGGCAGTAGGTAAAGCTGCACCTGGTTGGATTCGAACTGGTGTGAAATGGATCCTTAACACACCCAAAGTGTGTTTAAAAAGTCCCCTCCAGAGGACTGCTTAATTCAAAAACTCTTTGAAAGCCCTTTTATGCTTCTGTTAAAAGGAGGAATAATGGTTAGGGTTGATGCTGTTTCTGAAGTCTTGGGTGTGTTCATTTTGTCTGGTTTTTTTCCCTAATCCATTCTGCTGGGCTGTGCCATCCCTCTAGACTCCTTTTGCCTGTTAATGGATTAGGATCACTGGACTTGATCCAAACTTTGGCCCAAGAAGGTGGCACTTGACCCTACTACCTTGATATTTTCCTCATGTTCCCTTCACTAACTGCTTAGGTCCTCATGTGAGGGGTGCAGTTCCCCCTGGCAATTAAGCCACTCCTTTTAAGGAGTGCTTGGCTGGGGTTTGAGTAAATGCTGTACTTAACCTGCAGTTGGTCACCTCAGGCCATTTTCTCACAGGCTTCATCTGTCTCCAGGTCAGGGCACAGTGTTCCTCTCTTGTAAGGGCAGAGTGAGGTTCCTCTTCAGCTGCACTTTTGGGCTTGCCAGAAGCAGGCTCAGTGTCAGGACCCTCCAGGCAGAGCACCCTTTTCAACCCCTCACATCACTCTCTAGCTGTCAAATGACAGGTCTGGTGTATTTTTCCTTGCAGCAATACCAGAACCAGTTATTTCAACAAACAGAAGATGTGGATGGGAAGACAGAAATCATCATTAAGGTAAGCTGGGGATGTCTCATATTTTATGAAGAGTCTCTTGGTCTTGTTCTTGTTCCAATTCAAGATGCAGAGTTTTTTATCACTGCTACAGAAGGCACGTATTCTGTTTCTGGCCTTGCTTTCTGGCAGAGATCTGAGCTCTCCCTAGCAGGACTAATGCTCTGTTCGAGCAAAGCATGTCCCCTTTCCCAGTCATTCCAGGTTTTCACAGTCCTTTATCATCGTCTGGCCAGGTTAATCGGTCTCACTCACCTCTGATGGATGGCTGTCACTGAGGCGTGGCAGGAAGAAAACTCTCTTCCTTTTTGTCCTGTGAGCTGATTTTCAGAACTGCATGATTCCCTCTGACTTTGGGACTGGGAGCATGAGCTGAGTTAGTCCAGGACCCGTGGTTTAAGCCCTTCCAGCTGTTTAGTCAGTCATCTTCCTAAGATCTCCAGGTACAACCACACACACTGTGTATTTTCAACATTTTCCAACACTGAACAGGTTATGTGCAGCCTCGCTCAGGTAACCCTTTGGGACTGGCTTTGCAAGCCCCAGAGAGCAGCTCTAAGCCCTTTTTTGGTGGCCTGAATCCCCAGCTGTACATCAGGAATACAAACACTGTTCAGTCACAGCAACTCTGAACTGTAGGTACCTTGGTAGGATGTGAGCAGGTGTGATGAACTCAGTGTTAATCAGGGTGCTGATTGTTGGGTTTGTTGTGCTCAAAAGAGAGAAGGAGCTGGTGGGACTAAAGACACGGCGATGCCTTCACAGCCAAGAAACGCTTCCTGTCGCGGCCTCACACTGTGGCTCTGACGTGCTAATGATTTGTTAGTAATTTAATGAGATGGAAACAGAATGCTCTGTGAAGTGCTTATTTTTCTGGTAGTTCAATGATATTTCCACCTAAATATACAGGTTATGTTAATTGATGTCACTGAGATAAGATTAAAGCGATAGACACAAAAACATCCTTTAAAAATTAGGTGTGATTCTTCACCCATGTATCCTATCTCGTCTTCCAGGTTTAAGTCCTTGCTCCTGTTACAGCTTTCTTAATTTTGCTCCTCTGTCTTGTCTTTCCCTGTTAGGATGCTGCATATGTAGTCATGCTGTGGAGTGGCAAAGGAACAAACCTGCTCAGCCCATGGGAGTGATCCTTTTTTCCTCTCTGAAAATAGGGAAAGATTAAACTGAAGGGTCCCATTCTTCTGCCTATTCTTGTCCTTCCTCAGACCCTCTCTCAGGCATACGCGGGATTATAAACCAAACCAAACTACCAACCAAATCTGCCTTTAAAACTTTAAATTTGAGATAAACTCAGAGCTTGGATGGCCAGCACGTAGCCTGGACTGCTGCTTAGCCCACACCTGCCCTTGGTTACGAGGGGCCCCCACTGCAGCCTGCAGTGGCCTGGCTGTGGTTGGTAACATCCCCCGCCTGCAAGGAGGCACCTCTGTGGTGTGTGGACAGATCTCCACTCAGTGTCTCACCCAGGGTTGGGAAGGGCCTCTTGCCCACCAGAAAAGAAAAGAGAAATACAGTTCATTTTCCAAAGTGATCCCTGCGAGAATGGTGAGGAGGGGGTCTCTGAAGGCACGTCCAGAACCCACTAGGCCTCTTTGTGTTTGTGTGTTGAGGATTTATGGGGAGACAGGGGCTCCTGCATCACGTCACTTTACAGCACCTGTATTACCCTGCGGTGATCTCCTGATGTTATCTCTGACCTGGTCCCTTTGCCGTCCCCTTTCACAGCAATCCTGTGTCAACTGCGGTCGTGAGGCAACAAACGAGTGCACGGGGTGCCACAAAGTCAACTACTGCTCCACTTTCTGCCAGCGAAAGGTAAAAGCTTGTTTGTGAGTTGCAGATTGTGTTGTTTGGAGGGGGCTGTGTGACCCTGGTGAGAGGCAGACGGCTCTGCCTGCGACCTGAGGGGCGTCAGCGCAGCCAGAGAAGCAGGTGGCAGAACTTCCCATGGCTTCAGTCCTGTAGGAATTGAGCTCCTCTTCCTTGTCACTGCTGACCTAAGACCCCTCCTGTGGCCCTGCCCTTCGGGCATGCTGCCTTGTGTGAGCTCTTCCAGGGGAGGGTTTAAGCTAAGGTTCTGACTCAGTTATAGTATATTTTCCATGACCTAACTGACATCAATGCCCTGTTTTGTTTTTTGTGTTGAGAAACCAGTGTTCTGCTTAGTTTGTGTCCTCTGATACGGCGTGTGGTTCCTTTCCTGTCCTTCATGAGTCTTGTCTGGCTGAGCAGTAGAGACCTGCCATAGCCCATCTGTGCTAGAGAAAGCACCTCTTAAACACTGCACCTGCTGGGCCCTTTCCCTTCATGCCTCTCCCTCTGCTCTTCCCCTGCAGGACTGGAAGGACCACCAGCATATCTGTGGCCAGTCGGCCGCTGTGACAGTGCAGGCCGACGAGGTGCACGTCACTGACAGCGTGATGGAGAAAGTCACCGTCTGAGCACACCTACCTCTTCAACCGCTCCCCGGGGCCTGGTGCGGCCGGCTGGATCGGCAACCCGGTGTGAACGGTCTGTCCTTTACAAACCACACTCTTCTCACTAGCAAACTCATTTTTGAAAGATTTTTTTGATACTGTGACAGCATTTTGCCGACTCCCGATCCCTCTTCCAAAACTTTGAATAATACACTAGACTGTGAAAACCTCATCTGGAAAAAAAAACAACCCCCACCTAACTGCAGCCTGGCAGCTGGGAGCCACCTTGGGCTTAAGGAAGCTTTGCCTTGGCCAGCTGGGAACCTCCACCGTGTGGATTACGGCAATCTTGTCCTCTCTCTGGAGATGGATCCACAGCAGGTGCTGCACTGAGATTTGCCAGTGTTTCTTCCTCCCTGTGCCTCCCTACCTCCTGTTTGAAAAAAGAAACGAACCTTCATTTGGTTTATTTAATTGCCTTCAGAAAGTCGGTACAAGTTCTGAGTTGGCCAATGGAAGAACTTTCCCCCGCCCCCCCCGTGTTCCTTCTGTGCTGGGCAAATGTGGAACACATGGGAGCCTCTGCACTTGAATAGAAGTGAAAAATAACACGTTGTTAAATAAAATGTGGTGAAAGCCGGAGTGTGCCCGGTGATGCTGTTTAATTTCCCTCGGCAGCACTTTAAGCTACTGATCGATGCAGGAAGCGGCTGTGGTTATGTGCATGTCTCTGCTCTCCAGCCCTGCCACAGCCTCCCCCAGGCCTTTGCTGTAGCTCGCAGCGTCTGTCTGGCCAAAATCCGACCTGACCCAACCCGGAGGGAGAGCAGATTGTCCTGTCCCCACCTCTCAGCTGCTAATTAAAGCACAGAGCATTAGGAAGTTACTTGCTTTGTTCACTGCAAGAAAAAATTAATTATTAATGTATTTCTTTAATAATTTAGGCTAATCAGGCATCTTTGTGTTTGAAGAGTAACACCCCAGGCTGGAGGAGTCTCAGCAGACACCACCACCACCCCCCACTCCGCCTCTGGCTGGTTGGTTTTTTTCAGCCTCGGGCTTTACAGCTCTGAGGGGTCGCTTGTCCTGCCTGGCTATTCGCCCGGTTATTAGGATGATTCTGCGTTGGTGGGCGAGGGCGGTTATTGTTCAGCTGACACTCCTGGTAGGGTCACCCCTGGATCACAGAGTGACCCAATCCAGCATCAGAAACACCATCAAAAGGAGAAGATTCTGTCCAGAGATAGAGGAAAGTGATAATAGAGAAAAATGTGATGGAGAATCCGTAAGTCTTACACTAGTGGTTTCTGACAAGTCCGTTCCTTCCTCTGTGACTTTTGTTACTCAACTCCCAGGGGTTCCAGGAAGGTGGCAGCTGCTTCTTTGTCTCTCCCAGCACTTGCTGCTGCCAAGATCTCCTGGGACATCCCATCAGCCAAGTTCTGCCATTAGCAGCAGCTGCGGAGGAGCAGCAGAGGGGCCCGGCTGGGGCAGGCAGGTGACGCATCTCCAGGCCATGTCGGTGGCACCTGCCCAGTGTCGCTTTCTGGTTCTTTACTGGGAAAGTTTTTCCTCCGAAGGCAGGGCTTGGCGGGCAGCAGCATGGGACAGGCATTGGCAGAGGGAAGGCAGCAGCGTGCCGGCCTCCTCTGACAGAAACCGCTCTCCAGCGGAGAGCTGAGCATGAGCTGAAGCAGGAGAAGAGCAAAAATTACCTGTGTAAAGCGCCTGGGAGGGAAAGAACAGGCAAGTCCTTAGATTCTCATAGCAAAGTGCTCGCTCCCACTTCCCAGAGTAACATTTCAGTATCTGATAGTTTCTTCTCACATTGTTAAATTATGATTGCCTGACTTCTAAAGCTTTAAAGGCAATTAGCTAATTGAAAAGACAGTCTTAATTGAGCCTGCAGTAATACAGCTAATTTTCTTGCCTCGTCTATTGCCCATTAAGGTTCTGACTACAGGGAGCGGTGCAGAATGTCAAACGCCTCGCGTGGCCACTGCAGCCTGCCTCGGCAGCGCCTCTGGTGCTTCGCCCCTGGGGCTCACGCGCATTCTGCCCATGGAGACATCCCTGCACGGTGCTGCTGGTCGGAGCTCCGCATGGGTTCAAGGTCAGGGACAGCTTCAGGAAGAGGTGAGCTGAGGGGCCCGGTCCCCAGCCCTGCTGGTCCCCTGGGCAGTGACCGGACAGCAACTGCCACAAACACCTGAGTCCTCCGCTGTCCTCATGAAACAGCCACTGCCCAAGGGGAGCTGGGCTTTGGTTATCCTCTGAATTTTGGCTTTACTGCACCTTTTAAGGGGAAAAAAAATTTGGACAAGAGCGGGGCAACTTTCCTAAATGAAAAAAGTTGTAGGTGTGAGTCACTGCTAGTGGAAGCTCTGGGGAGCCTCCCCTCAGAGCCCTGGTTCTGGGGCGGCCGCGCCCCAACACAGCGGCAAACTCCAGAACACACAAATCCACAACGCAATCACCGTGGGAATGGAATGTGTTTATTTGGGAATGACAACTCGATCGAGCAGTTGTTACTTTTAGGCAAAGAAAAGCTTCAGCCCTCCCTGCAGTACTTTTCTCTTTTTGTTCCTAAGCAAATTACCCCTTGGAAAGCAACAGCCCTATGCAAAAATCGTTACCCCGACGATTGCTGGTTTGTACAATAATCATTTTCTTTCCCGAGCTTGCAAGGACGTGTCAGCTGCTCCCTCTGGCTGCCCCAGGGTCACTGTGCATGGGGTTACCAACAGCGGAGTCTTCCCTGATCTCAGCTTTCTCCAGCTTTTGGCTGAATTCGGGCATTTCTCAGCCAGGGCAGCTTTCCTGTGCAGGGGCGGCAGGGCCGCCTTGTCTGGGGGGTCTTTGTAGGATCTTCACATCCACTTGAGTAAAATGAGTAAAATCAGTCTTTGGATGTACAGTTACCACGGGTAAGGGGAGGGTTGGGTGTGCAGGTAGATACACCCTCCCCAGGCCTGGGAACACCTGGGAAAGGAGCTTCAGAGGCTTCTTCCTTGCAGGCTCCTGCCCGCGTTCCCTTAGAGCCTTGGTGCTGCCCCCCGGCAGCTGGGAGGGGCCAGAGCCCGTGCCCAGGTGGGCTTGTCAGTAACATCCTGCCAAAATGCAATTTGTAATCCTCGTCGCTCGGTGCTGGGCTGAGGCTTTGCCCTGAGCCACCGCCAACCTGAAGGGTCTGAGTCACTGCGCTTCTGCCCCTTCCTGCACCCCTCGGGGGGGCTTTGCCAGGGCTCTGGGGGACACATGCTGCCCCCATGCAGGCATCAGTGGGGCTCCCTGTTGCGCCCATGAGCTCAGTTTGGCTGCACCATTAAATCCTACGGAGCCGGGCAGCAGCACAGGGGGGCTCCTCCAGGAACGCTCCCCAAGCTGGCACGGGCAGGATTCCCCCCACGCCCGGGAAGCAGGGAAGCTCTTGCACCTCTCATGGCCAGGGTGGGTCATACCGTGTGCGGGGGCAGCTGGGAGAAGCCCAGCCTGGCCCAAACACCAGCACCCAGCGCTGGTGCTGAGAACCATCCTGGCTGCCAGCGGCAGCTCTTCCTGCTATCTCGAGCAGCAGGTGCTGAAGAAGCAGCTCCGCCTGCGCTTCCCGGCGGGAGCGTCTGGGTGCAGCATCCGCAGGTACTCACCTACGAGGAGGAGCTGGTGAACCAGCCTCCCTCCGCCACCCCCTCTCTTCCTGCCCGCCTCCCCAGCGATGACAGCAGCCCTTAGGCAGAAATAGATCTTTAATGAACTATACAAAAAATAGCCCGGTTGTTCCTTCTCCCCTCCTATGCTGGTGAGCTCAGCAGAAGAGGTGCAAGACTTTGCGGAAGAAGTTCCTGAACTCCGCGTTGAAAACGGTGTAAATGATGGGGTTGAGGGCGCTGTTGACGTAACCCAGCCACGTGACTGTGCTGGTGACCTGGGTGGGAATGGTGCAGGACTTGCAGAGCGCCCTGGTGATGTGGACCACAAAAAAAGGTGTCCAGCAGAAAAGGAAAGCACCTGCCAGAAGGACATGAAAGAGGGAAAATGATGTGAATGTTAAAAGGGATTTAATTTAACAAAGACAAGAATGGAGACGGCTCAGAGCGCTTCGGGGAAAAGCAGCAGATGTGGTGATATGTGGAGCTGGGCTTAACGCCCAGACAGAATATTTAGGATGTATTTCTCATCTGAAATGTTGATGAAGAAAAGTCTAAGTTACATTATTAGTTGTGGATTCGCATTTACGGTACTAGGAGCCACAGGTTCCCCCTGAAGGAGCGGGTGGATTATTCACACTGGAGGCCCCTTCTCTCCTGGGGTGGCGTGGGGACGGAGCTTCTCACTGGATAAACAGCCTCTTGCAGTGGGGGTGAGTATGGGGGGGGCTTAAGGCCCAATGGGCTGTTCCAGAGGAACAAGAGGAGAGGGGAGTCAGAACGTGAGGGAGGAGGGCCTGGGATGGGTGGGACAAGGTGGCTTTTTGCTCTCCCTCCCCGAGGAGGAAGCATGGTTCTTGGTGGTTCCGGGCACACCGGCACCCGTCGCGGCCCGGCAGGAGTCTGTGAAGCCCAAGCTCGGGGCGGCGGGCGCAGATGGGTCCTACCAGGCCGATTGTCACCGTCACACACAGCGTGTTTCCCGCCCTGTCCCAGCAGCGCCTGCTTGCTACTCACCAACGACAACAGGCAGCACCCGCATGGCCTTCCGCTCCCGACCGTTGATCTTGGCCCGCTTCCGACTGTGCCCTGCGTGGGGGTACCGGAGGTGGGGGTAGGAGACAGTCTGGATCCCATTGTTCACCCCATAGTCCCCTGGGTGCTCGGGGTGGGCGTAAGGGTTGCACTCCTCGGGCTCCAGGCCCGTTGGCTCTCGCTCGAGGCAGGTGGAGGGGCGATACAGTTTCCGGTTGGCCCCATAGATGCTGCCCCTCAGCTTGGCCTTCCTGGCCTCTTCCCAACGCTTGAGTCCGTGGAACATGGCGCAGTACAGCACCAGCATGACGGGGCACGGGATGAAGAAGGAGCAGATGGAGGAGTACACGATGTAGTTGTCATCCTCCAGCTGACACAAGCTGGGGTTCCGGTTCGGGACATTGTTGAGGCCAAATATGACGGGGGATGCTACAGCAAAGGCAAATATCCAGGTGGTGGATATGAGGATCAGCTGCCGCAGGTCGATCTGGCGCCGGTTGTAGTTCAGTGGGATGGAAACAGCGATAAACCTGCCAGTACAGGTCAGTGTCACCACTGGTAACAAGCGAGTGGTCCCAGAGCTGCTCACCACTGTCCTTCCCCCCCTGTTAATTTACCTACATAGCCAAGGTCTGGGCTACAACCAGCCCCCTGCTCAGAAGAACACCCGAAGGGACAGCTCTGGCTTGAGCCTCCCCCAGGGGCACTCGGGGGACACAGAGCTGTGGAGGACACAGTGGGGCTGAGCACCCTCCTGAGGGGAGAACAGGAGCCTTGCGAAGGCGCGTGTGGGAGCAGCTCGGTGCAAGGACACAGCACTCCCCCCTCCGGTGGACTTACCGATCCACGCTGATAGCACAGAGGTTGAAGATGGAGGCCGTGCACAGCATCACGTCCATGGTCATCAGGGCATCGCACAGCACCGTGCTGAGAGACCACACGCCTCCCTGGAACTGAAAAGATTCCTGGGGTCAGCAGATGCCATGTCCCACTGCCTTTAAAATGACACGTAATGCCTCTGTGCCGGGGCACCTCAGCTGCTCCCGTTTTCCCCCAGAGTGGCAGCCTGGAGCCGAGCAGCCCTGCCCATGGCTCAGTGCCGCTCTCCTGGCAAAGCAGCGGCACAGGGGCTCGGCCCTGCACGAGGGATCGCAGCCTGCTCAGGGCTTCGTGGTTCTGGCCCAGCCTGAGGGTTGAGCCCCCAGACATGTTGCGCTGGGCAGAACTGACACAGGCAGCCCACAGGGCAGCAGGGAGAGGCTCTTCAACAAGTGACAGAGCACAAAGCTTCCACTTTCCACATGCAAACTGCTCCACCGTCCTGCTGGCAGACACCATGAGTTCTGTGGTTCCATCCCACACGCCAAGTGTGGGGCCAGGCTCCTGCGAGCCAGGCAGATACAATCTCTTGGATGCTCTCACCACAACTGCAGGCAGCCAGGGCAAAACAGAAGCACTGCTAACGCGAGGATGTAATCGTGTCATTGGTCCATATTACTTGGGAGCATGGACTCTGCTATACAAGAGATAGCGGTCAACAAAAAATCTATGCTTCTGCATCTCAAATAATCCCCAGAAAAAAACAACAAAGCCAGAAAATGCCCATGGGTTTGTGGTTTATCAATACCAGCCTGTGCAATAGGAACGTTTTCTCAGCAACGTGCTGTGAACCTGGCTGCTGGAAAATGGGAAGGAAAAGCTCAAGGAGCACAGAACTCGCACCCGCACAGGCAAACCAGCAGGCCTCAGTGGGCTGTTCCCATCATGGCAGCGAGAATTTTCCCTCCCAGTTTGGAACTGCCTGGCAAACTCCACCACCCCTTGGGTCCTTCTGCAGGGAGGGGCGAGGTGAAGACCAAACCCTGTGCCAAAATGCCGCACAAATAGGGATGGTTTCAGCTTGAAGACAAAGTGATCAGCACCAATGGCCACTTGCCACGTCCGGCCCAAACACGGGTTTACTGGCGCCTGGTCTCCCTCGCGCCAGTGCTGGGCTGTGTATCATACACACTTACATCTGGGTTTTCCTTTAGCTCACCCTCCTTCACCACCCCGGTAATGCAGAGGCTTGGGGTCACCCTCTCAACAGGCCAAGAGCAGACTGGAAGGAGCTGGGCTGATGCAGAAAGCAGGGCCAGCGCCGAGGAACAGCCTCTGCCAGGGCCAGCAGCCCCTCGGCTTGTGGGCACCGTCTGCAGCCTCACCCCGACACCCCCACACCGCGTCCGGGGAGTGACAGCCCTGCCCATGTCACCTAATGACCCCCCGTGGGGTCAGAGCACGCCTGGGCAGTCCAGCCTCTCTGCAAAGTCCATATATACAGAACATATCTCTGTATATTTGTTATATAAAATACACGTATAAAATTATATAGTGTATACATATATGATACTAATAAGCTATGTATTATATATTGCTGTAATATAAGATATATAGTAAACATACGTATTGTGCAGATATAGGGGCTTAAAATGTCTCTCTATAATATATATTATTGCAATATATAACATTTTATACATTATAATTTATCCATATATTTCTATATAATATATGCTATATATGTATATTTAAAAATTAGATTCAAAGTCATATTTGTTATTAAAAATTAAACTGTATACAGATAAATGTAAAATGCCCCTGGGAATTTGCAAAACATCAAGCAAAATATATACTCTGTGCATACTCTTACTATTATAAAAATATAGATTATATATGAGAAATATTATAACAACATATATTGCTACATGTAATATATAATTTACTATCTTTTTTATCTATATATGATGTGCTATATAAAAATAATATTTTATATATATAAATATATATAAGTTCCAGGGACTTTTCTGTTTTATATACATATAATCTGTTTTTATCCATATCATTTATAAATGTATTAATATGATGTATCATACAGTGCATTAATATATAATAATATAATATAGAACATATATAAGTAACGTCTATATTATATATCCTATATTATGGTAATATGTAGTAAAATACATAAACCATACATAATATATTATTATATACTATGTGTTCATATTTACAAAATAGATCCCAGAATCCCAGGTTGGAAGGGACATCAAGGATCAGCTGGTCCAACCTTTCTGGCACGACCCTGGTCTAGCCAAGCTGGCCCAGCCCCTGTCCAGCTGAATCTTGAAACTGTCCAGTGTTTGGGGAACCCACCACTTCCCTGGGGCAATTATTTGAGGTGACCAATTGTTCTCAGTGTGAAACATTTTCCTTTTGTGTCTAATCAGAATCTCCCCAGGAGTAACTTGCACTGTTATCCTTCTTACAGGGAGAAAATGAGGGGAGGCTCCATCTCCTTTGCAGCCACCCTTTAGATACCAGACCATGGTCCTCAGGTCTCCCTGGAGCCTGCTCTTCTTGGGAACACTGTACATGTATGTACAAAACATTATACATACATGTACAATGTATGTATACATTCATCCCATACATGTGTGGGAACATTATACATGTATGTATGAAACAAGAGCGGAGAGCCAAAAAAAGTGATTCAGCATCGCAGGAGAGGGAGCAAAATGCCTGGCACCGGGCACAAGGACAGCAGAGGAGGTGCCTAGGGTGTGGAGAGGAGTTCAACCCACGTGCCAGTGCCAGGAGAGGAGTGGTGGAATGAAGCCCAAAAGAGAAATAATTAGACCGTCACCGTGTTGTCTGAAAAGTGGCTTCGTGATCCAGGGTGCAATAGGTCAACGATTACACACTCAGGTGAGACATCGCTTATTTATTCCAGGGTTGCACAAGCCTGGGTGCTCGAGGGTTTCCCACAAATCAAGTACCCAACAGGACTTTTCATGCTGTATTCATGCATAAAACTTGCAGAGTTAGCAATTGTCCAAGCCCATCTTCTCTATGACGATTGGTTAGTAATTTACATACAATTATAATACTGCTGACAGAATACTTCCACTACTGTGCATGGGCAAGGTTCTTGACCTGCAGGTGTGATTTTTGGTATTAGAATGAGGGTAGTTCAGCAAAGGACACATGGACCTTGCGTTTGCTTGCCAAGTTGGCACTGTATCCTCTTCAAGGGCTAGTGGCTCCAGGATGTCCTTGCCCAAAGGCGGCTATTGACTTGTTCTGCTGATGAGGGATGCCTTTGGCTTCCACATAGGCAGAAGAAAGTCACCCAGGGAGGCGGGTGTCAGGTCCCAGCACTTACACGCGGGTGACACCACCAAGGCTGAAGAAGCCGGAGGCACGTCCCGCTGCCCGCACGGCACCGCTCCCCGGGGCGCGTGGCCGGGGCCAGCCTGGCGCTGCCGCAGCCTCTCTCCAAAGCAAAGCTGCAATAACAGCCAGCGCTCAGGCAGCAGAACTGCTGGCCTTGCACGCGGTTCAGGAAGCGGGCATGGATTTGTTCACATATAAATGCTAAACGATAGGTTCTGGTTTTGTTCATCCCAGCGCACGAAATGGAGCTACAGGGGCAATGTTCTTCATGTAACACTGGGCAGGGGCAGAAACCCCTGCCCCTGCCAGGAAGAGGGGGCAGGCAGCTCTAAGGATTATCAAGCACTACTGATGTCATGCACAGGATTATGATTAGTGGAGCTGTAAAGCCAAAGTAGACTCTGAAGAAACTGTTTGGCTATTTTTATACAGCCATCTCCTTGAGTGGTAGCCCAGGGGAGGGCTGAATTCAGACCCCAATGCTTCATTCATCTTTTTCTCCAGCACAGATCAGCCACCCCAGATGGATTCTGAGAGGTGAATCAGAAAAAACAACCCTCAAATTTTTCCCAAGCTCACTGAGATCCTGACAAGTTCAATTCAGATTACGGGAGAGGAAATTTGATTCTGGGCTACAGTTTTCAAAACCTGTTTGTGATTTTGGGGAACAAATTGATTCTGAAAAGGACATGAGCTCTCAGGGTGCAGCACGTTCAGAGGACACACAGCCTTTGCCGTGAGATTCAAGTTGGGTGCTCAGAAAACGCTACAAACTCCTTTTTTCCACCAACCCCTGAGACTCTGACTTTGGGGGAAGCCCTAGGAGAGAACTCCCCATTATACCTTGTTTTCTGCTTGCCCACCTTAGCAAAATGTGCCAAGACCCTCTGCAACAGGTGAGTGATTTTGGATTAGAGGCATAGCTGGCTTTGCTGGGTCATGTGATTAAGTGGTACCTAATTAGAGGAGGTTGCAGAAGATTAGCCCATCGAGGTACACAGTGTAAAGCTTTAGAGATCATAACAGCTCAAGCTGCCTTTAAAAAGTGCTCCAGAGCAACTCCACTTTCATCAGCTTTTCTGCATTCTCTGCTTTTTCAGCGCAAGGCCCCTTGTTCTTCTCTCACAAGGCACGATCAGCAGTGCTGCTGCTGAGGAGACACAGGCAGCTGGTTGCACAGCAAAACAGACGCTCTACAGGCAAGCTGCCTCCCTTCACAAAATAAAAGAAAGCTGCAAATACAACCCCACAAGCCAGCCTACCTGCTACAGCTTTTCTAAGGCTGATGACAAGCTCTGGCCGGAACAGAGTCTGAGCCTTAATGAGGTTCGGCTCGGCGTTATGAAACACCACATTCAAACCCTCCAGGCCTCCCTCCTGGAAGAGGGTGGGCAACGGTGAGGGTCACGCTCTGCCCTGAGCTCAGCGCTCAGTGGCAGGCGAGGAGGGGTTACAGCAAGGCGGTAAGGATGGCCGCTCTGGACACAAGCCAGGCCCCTTCCAAAGTGGGGCTCCTGGTGCTTTATTTAACCCACCAAGGTTGGCAACACCAGTAACCTCACACACAGCCACTGCAGTCTTGCAGGATATCAGTGTCTCACTACAAACAGCACATGGGTTCTGGATCAACCACAGTGTGCAGAGGAGGAACAAATCCAGCTGCTTCTTACAAAGAACAGAAAGAGGTTACAGAAAAGATTTTTCTAGGATGCTGGGAGATGGACTTCTCAAACACCCTTGCAGGGTGCCTTCCCAGCTCAGTTTGATGTCCCTATTCCAAAGCACAGCTGATTTGTAAGAAAAAAATCTGCCCTCTCACAAACAAGCCTGATGCCAGAAGAGCTCTTAAACTCATGAGGGTCATACCCATCCCTCCTGCCAGCCCTGCAAACAGGCTTAGTGCTCCCTCAGTCTTTGGTGGTGATGGCATCTGAAATAAGACACACAGGCAAGAGCAGCCTGA